CTTTTCGTGAAAATTGTATGATAAAGAAAAGGCATTCTTTTCCTTTTGCATGAGAAGCAAAATTGAGATTCATAGATGATGATGAGAAAGAAAATGGAAAAGTTAAATTCAAAAGATTGACTAAAGTTCAATACCAAGAGTGATGAGAAAAGGTGATTGTAAAAGTATTCACAACTTTCGGTTCAATATTGAAAAAGATTCGAGAAAAGACAAAAAAGGTGATCATGTTTATGAATAAATAGAACCAAAGATTAACAGGTAAGGAAAAAGAAGTCGAAAATTGAGACGCAAGAATTTCCTGGAATCAATAAAATCTGAATTTTGATATCGAACCGAAATTAGTCATTCCAATGTTTCCACTTCGAAAAGGCAAGGAAAGAAAAGGTGAAAAAAGCCAACAATTTCTGTCGACTTTTCTTTGAACATTTCTTCAGTTTCCTCTCAATTTCATCTTTTCATGATAATTGCTCTTCAACATTCCATTAATCGTTTTTTCTTTTCAACGAAAACAGTTACACAATTATTCAAAGGCTTATTCAAATCACATTTTTCGCCATTTTTCTCCTTCCATTAACATTGGAAACAAAATTAACTTTTAATAATGACGAACCATTTAAAAGCATTTATTTTAATCTCTTTCGCTTGGATTTAACTTTCTCCTCTTTTTTACCTGTTAAATGTTTACTCCTTCAATCTTGATTGGGAAAACGTTTGAACGTGACTTTTTGCTTCGTCTTCGTAAATTAATAAAAAGGTTCAACTCACACATGTTTTTATAATTCGCAGACTTATCGAACCATATTATTCATTATCTTATTTTGTTAACATAAAGTGAACCTTTTTGTTTTTTTTCCTTGCTTTTCCCTTTTCTTTTTCTCGGCTCAAAGAAACAAAAAATTTTTCATTTCTTTATCTCACTGGGAGTTTAAACTCCCAACAGGGAACAGAAAAGAGGTAAATCTTGATTGTTTTGTATTTGCTTATTTAAAACGATTTTTTCTCTTTAAATTATTTCGCCTTTTCTTTAATTCAAAAGTTCTCTGTATATTGGACTGAAAAGAGCAAACTTTTTATCTCCATTATTCAATTTACTTTTTGCTTCTATTTTGTGTATTTTTTGAGTCTCGTTTGCTGTTGTCTCTCTGAACTTTTCAACAATTATAATTCCATTAGAATATGGATCAATGTAAATTATTTGGCGAATTTAATGGATTTATTTTGGCGCAATTTTACTTGGTGAAAGACAATTTCAAGTGATTAAGCCTTTTTATTAGTTTGGTTAATGTTTTTGACAAAATGTTTTCCATTCAAGTTGCAGTTGAGAGTAAATTGATGAAACGAAATGATGAGGATGAAGGGATGATCGAAAGACTTGCCTTTTCACTTCAACTCTTTCATTTGCTTTTCCACTGAATTGGTAATTCGCTTTGATTTTTCATCTTCTTTCCTTTTCTTTTAATGCTCATTTTAATGGCTCATAAAGATGATGACAGAATCAGCCAAAGTGATAAGGTGGAAAATGATCAAAGATGAAGACAATTTCAGGATAAAATGAGTAGAAATTTGTTGTAAAGAAATAAAAGTCAAAGTTATTCATGGTGTATTAAAGTTGGTTTTGAATAAGATGAATCTCGGTAACCGATAAGTATTTGGTTTCCAAGTAAATATTGAACCTCAAATTTAATAGACAGCTTTATTGCCAGTAAAAATTTCACTAATAAAATCACAATTTCCAATTCGGTATCACCACTAATTAATTTCACTCTTAAGGAAATCATTCGCAATTTAATCTCTTTTCATCAAAGAAGGAAATTTCGATTCATCTCGATTTCGACAAAAAATAAGAGTTTTTCTTTGACATGAATAAGTCTAAATAAGAATTGTTTGATCATGATTTTTGCTGAAATCTTCCGAGTTGCAAAAGCATTGAGCTGAAGTTTGTGGGCAAGCAATGTGATGAAATGGTTTGATCGAGTTTTGTTTTAAAAAAATTGATAAAAAGACAATTTCCGATTTTGTCGGATTGAATTATCTTAAAAAATTACATTTTAATAGAGTTTTGAATTCAATAAAATAACTGCAAAATTCATTGATTTGAAATTTCGACTCATGATTTATCACAAAAACTTATTCCAGAAGCTCTAGCTTCTCTTTTACAGACTAAATAATTTTGTCGAATCAGAAAATTTGAAACATTTGAGAATGAAATCGTAAAATAGATTGTTTTTTCGAGACAAACCGAATGATTACAATTTTTCTTGGCGAAAACTCGCAAAATGTTTAAACTGTCTTTTCATTTCTCAAAAACTCATCAACAGCTTCTTCAAAAGCCATTCCATGAGAATCTCAATTTAAATTTTTCTATCTTCTTCTAATTTCAGTTTGCAGTTGAATAAATAAAAGTTGTTCAATTGCATGCAAAAGGTTCAAGTGCAACACACCAAACAAGCCATCATTTTGATTTACCTTTATTGACCTTAAGCTGTACAAACAATGAATTGAATGTAATATTGTCAAGGTTGGTAGAGACATTTACATTTGGATTATTTGCATTGAATTGGATAACATGTTAACATGAAATATTAAACAAGCAAAGGAAACGCCAATTGTTGTCTCAACGTTGTCATCAAATTGAAGCAAAAATTGTATCAATAAATTCACCTTTTCTCATGTAAATTATTCCATTGCAAATCAAAGGTGAACATAAAAGTGAACCAAAAAAAATTGGAAACATTAAACATTGAAAACAACCCTGAAAGAACATAAAAACGACTAACAAAAAACCAAAAAATGATCTCAAAAAACTTCAACTTCTAGATCAAGATTCCTTTGCACACTTGATGCTCAAGTTTCATCTAAATAAAGTTTCCAATTTTCTCGTCTTCATCTTTTCCAATTAAAAGACGGTTAATCAAGATGGACGTAATTAGTTGAAGGGAACAAGAATTTTGTTCCTTCTCCATCAGTTCTGGTTCAAGTAAAGTTTACAATTCATTCATGGGTTATCATCGGCAAAGGGAAGCACAAAAGAGACTTGATGGAATTGATAGAGAATGTTTAATGAATGGAAAGATTAATTCATTTACTGGATAATTTTGTTGAGCGTCTGTTTGCGATTCAATTTTGTTTGTAAAGTTAATCACTGAATTAACCAAATTGAGTGAAAGGCCGAGAAGAAGAAAAAGGATGAAAAGAGAAAAATTGACTTCTCTTTTTTTTCTTCTCTCTCAGTTAACCATTACCAATGGATAACAATGACAGAAACGTCTGACAACTGAAATGCCTTGAAAAAAAGGTAGAAACTCGATTGAAACAGTTTTCAACTTTCATTACAATTGTTGCTAATTATTGTAGACTCATTTTGGCAGTTTCAATGAACATTCAACATTTTTAACTTCTTTCTCTTTCTCTTCTCCTCTCTTTAAATAGTTCATTTTTCAGGGTAAACTTTTCGCCTTGTTTTCCATTACAAATTGGCTTCATTTCATGTGAACAATTTTACAAATGAAAACAATTTTCATTTGGTTGCTGTTATCACAAATTGTCAGCTTATTGTTTTAATAGCGTCAACAGTTTACAACAATTACAATCATAATTAATCAGAGTTAACAAGGCAAGACGGAAAAAAGACGAAAAGGCAAAGAGACAAAAGTTATTACATTTTTTACACTTTTACCGTCTAATCATTCATCCAGGTAAAAAAAGGTTTAGGAATGAGGAAAGAAGAGAAACGAAAAATGAAAGAAAATTTGACAAAAGAGAAGAAAAGAAAAGTCAAATTTTCGGCCAATTTTTCCATCTATTTCAGAACAACCTTTTTTTACCATGTTCAGGGCTCATCATCATTACAAGACCAGTTTGACTAAAGAATGAAAATTTGAATGGAATCCAAGGAAATAATCTTAAGCTGAGCCTTCTTTTTCCTGCTTCACCAACAAACTTGTATTATACTTGTAAAGATACAATGAGTGAAACAAGTTTACTTGATTCAAAAAAGTCAAAATATTTTGGCATTCCTCTGATCAGTCTTGAGTTTCGTCTCTCTACATTTTTCATTCTTCGAAACTTTTTTTTTCTTCTTCACTTTTTTCTCCCTTTGAAAATTGTCTATTCATGGATGACCCTTAAACCCTCTTTTGGCCAATAGTTCAATAGTTTTGGTCATCAGGTTCAACTCGTCATTTTATTCATGGTTGATGAAACTTTTTTCACTGAAAATGTTCTCTTGCGAGTTTTTTACCTTGAAACATTTTCTTCTCGTAATCATCAGTTTGACCCTTTTTCTTGTCACCCTTTTACGGGTCATCATTTTGGATAGATTATTAGATCGATAGATTTAGTCATGGAATGACATTTACTTTAGTAATTTTTCTGTTTACATCAAAAATTTATTCAACCTTTAGTTTTGACTCTTTTTTTTGCGTTTGATGGAAGAATCAAATTGCTATTCAAAGTTTTCTGAGTTTGGAATTTTTTTCTTCTTCTTTGCTTCTTCTTCTGACCAGACAAATGGAGCCAGATTGAATAACTTTTCATGATAACAGGAGAAGAATATCTTTTGACAAAATCTTGAAAATGGAAAGAAATGGAAAGAGATTGAAAAAGAAAAAGAATGAACAAAATACATGTTGGAATGGAAAATGTTCAATAATCATGTTAATGGAGGAGATAAATCTTATTAAGAATCGGGTCAAGCACAGAGAATCAAATCTATTTCATGTTAATGGAGTGACAGGAAACAAGAAGAGCGCAAAAATAGATGAAAAGGGAAACATCGAAAATTGGAATGAAATGAATGAGAGGAAGAAAAAAATGAATTACAATTGAAAGTATTTACTAGTAAATAGTTGTCTGTTTAATCAAAATGATTGTCATTTTCATTGCTCCATCCAAATTTGCTCAATGTTCAACGATAATTTTATATTGAAAAACAATTTTTCAGACAAAAGACCAACAGCCGAATTTCAATAGAAGGAATTTTCTATTCTACGAAGACTCACCATTTTGTCCATTGTTTCGCGGTTTGGCTCCGAGATACGCAAGGTTAACATTGGCCTTTCGTCCGTCAATGATTGGATTAGCATCTTTGACGGCTCGCTCTGCAGCTTCACGGTCCGCCATGGTTACCTTTTGGCAGTCCAAGTTTGATTGAAGAAAACACAATTTTTAGATTAATCCAAATGGCAATGGAAATGTTGATGCAATTGTTATCCATTTTTGTTGGAATTTGTGAATCCATGAAAATGAAAGAACAGAGAAGAAGAAAAATGTTGGGAAAAGGAAATGATGAACATTATGGTTATTCTCAGGAAACGATAATTTTCTGTGTTTATTTTTATACATTCTGTGGGTTTTCTTTTTGTTGACTTTTTTCGTCTGTTTTTACTGGTTAATGTCCATGTTACAAGCAAAAAAAGGAAAAGCAAATGAAACTTACAAATCCATATCCACGGCTTTTACCAGTTTGACGATCTGTAATTACCACGGCTTCCTCAATGTCACCGAAAGATTCAAAAAACTTTTTCAACGATTTATCGGTTGTATGATATGGTAAACCACCGACAAATATTTTGGTCAATGTTGTATCCTTTTGGGTTACAGTTGGCTGATGAACAGTAGTTGGATGGCCAGTCATTGGCCCACTTACACCGCCACCGTTAACACAGGTCACTGTATTGATGTATTGAAACATAATTATTGGTTGAATGTAATAACAGAGAAATGGAAAATGAAAAACTTTCTCTTCTTTTTTCAATCTTTAATCACAATCTTGTTTCACTTTCGCATTTCGTGTCTCTCTGCTTCTTCTTTCTTTATCAGTTAGTCAGTATATTCCAATGTATCAGCTGAAAGGAGAGCCAGAGGAGAGAGAGAGAGAGACTCATTAGAACTCGATTTTGCTCGGTTTCGAGTTTACCTTTTCTTCCTTCCTACGATTGCGCTCATTTATATCTCAATATTGATGCTTTTTTTAGATGAATCCCTTTACTGAGTTCTGCACTTCCATCTATTGGCTCAGATCAGTATCACCAGGTTGGATGATTAAAGTGCAAAAACTTTGAATTTCGATTAAAAGTTGTGATTAAAAAAACTTTTAGGAACATTGAAACTCGACTAATTTGTCCAATGAAAAATTTTTCTCTGATCGAAGTTTTCTCGTTGAATTGCTTTGTAAAACCAAATTTCGATTGCATTTTGTTCAGCTGTAGATCTTTTTTCTTCATTTGACGATGGTTTTCATTAATAATTAGTCTTTTAAATTTGGATTGCATGTAATGTGCTGAGCAAAATGAATTTCCGATCATGACTGATTGGAGGTTGGCTTGTTTGTTATAAAACATTGTATCATTTAAATTGTTTTTCATGATCAGCCCATTATTCAGTCAATTTGTTTTCCCTTAAACTAGCCATTTATCCATCAAAAATATTCATTCTGTGAAATGGAAAGGTTAAAGTGTTAAAAATAATATTGACCAGAACCAAAATAATTTGATAACGTGAGCATTGATTAAACGCTTTCTAAACCTTTTATCCTTTCCACCACTTTCGCCTTGTCAAAATATCAGCTTGAAATAGTTACCCTTTGTTTATGATATTATAATCATGAATAAGCAACAATTTAATCTTCACTTTGGATTGTTTAACGTTATATTAGGAAACGAAGAGCAAGAATACAAGATAAATATTAACCATTAGAATTGACCATCTTTTCCACCCTCACTTTCATCACTTCAACTGACCATTTAAACCTGTCAATTATATTATTTATATGCACACAAAAACAGCATCAAAATGAACCTTTTCAAGTCTCTCTCTCAACGAATTATAATTGACCAATCAATCAAGTTTGGATCAAAAAATTTTCCTTCTCATCAGAAGCATCTCATTGAATCGATTAAATTTAATCTGGAAATGAGTAAATCTCGAAATTCTGAGGGAAAAAGAGATAATCTCTGAATGAGATAATCTGAGATGGAATGTAATCAATGTTGACTGTAAATGAAAAAAAAGTGTTGAGAATCAAATGGATAAGAAGAAGGGTTCAAGTGAAGTTCAAAGAAAGTTTCAAGAGAAGCTGGGCGGAGAAGAAAAGAAGATGATCAAGTTTTCCTTTCCTCTCATCTTCATCTTCATCATTTTCCTCTTTCTCTTTACTCTCTCTTTTTGTTTCCCATTTTGACCCACTAAACCCTCTTTACCTTTATCTATATTCTCATCCTTTTCTTAACATTATATCAATTCTGAATAAAGTTGAGTTCATTTCAATCGTTTCATCGTTACCCTGCTCATCATCATTCAAATTGTGAACCAACACTGTGTACCTTTACCTTCAACTAATTGCCTTTTAACAACATTTCAACATCAGTAAAAGTTCAACTTACGAGTAAAGACGAGAAAAAAACTTTGCTTCATATTTTACTTTATACTTTTTACCAACAGAAGAGAAGATATTTATTCCTGGAAAAGGTTAATATCATTGTTCATCAGTTAACAGAATTATCGTTATCACAACCAGAAACGAAGGATAAACCAAAAGCCAAATGGATAAAATGTTCAAATTGTTATCTGTAAGTTAATCCCATGAAAAAGAAACGCTGAAACCTTTAAGCCTAAAACCCTTTACTAACATTTAATCTTGATTCATAACTTTGATTGTGGATATTAAAGAGAGAGAAAAAATCTGATGGAAGAAAAAAATCTTTGACATTTTCGTATCATCATGTTCATCTTCGTCTTCTTCTTCCTTAAGGTAACCCTGATTTCAAGTGTAATACTCTGCCTTACTCATGGAACTCTGTGTGCATCAATTAAATCACCATCAAACTCATTATCAGCCTCATTAGGAAACAGTTTACGATCCAATCCAATCAAAGATGCTCGTGATTTAACCTGGATGTTAGTCCAAGAATATTCACGATTCTTGCTGAGCCTCTTTGAATCGGCCCAGAGTCTGGAAAAAGACATTAAAAGGCGAACCTACATCTATGGGTTGGATGTTGTCGGTCGACCCATTGATCAGTTGACACCCATTGAGATGCTCTTATCGGCCGCCTTGAGGCCTCGCAACTTTTACCACAAAGCAACAGACAACTTTAGCAGAAAGTTGTCCAAAGTTCAAAAGACGATCGACTTTGGTATGGATGCAGTCGACAAGGCACGGAAAACTTCATCGATATTGTACACTATTTTACAATCGATTCCTCGATCTGGATGAATCTCGTTTCATTCAAGTCTAGTTGTTGAAATTTTTAACTTTATTTTCATCCAAATTAACCATTTTGTTTAATTGTTTTACACAAATGTTGCCAATGAAGAGATTCAAAAATCATTTTTATATTCAAAATTCACTTAATTATTGACTTATTTTCATCATCATTTTCCCACCAAACTATTTTTTTGCTTCATATTCATCAATAAATTGTTTTTTTATTTTCATGCTTCAATTATTGTGTTTTCATTTTTTCTTGCTATATTTACTTTCAATTGTTTCAGGGAATTTCAATCAAATTGAATTGGAATAATTAGCCAATTTAGGTTGCCGCTTTTCAATTGGGTTAACGATAGCAACATGAGTAGTTTGTATTGGTTATAATCAATCCAACTGGATATAAATAACAATTATCATCATCATTATCTTTATCATATCAATTATTGCCTTCAATTTTGATTTAAATTTTGAAATGAATTAAACAAGAGATATTTCAATTTGATGGGTAAATTGTTTTCTTTTCACTCTTTACGTTTAACCAGATGAAGATGGCCTTTCTAAATGTTGATATTAACACTAATCAAATTGTGTGAAAAACTACTTATCAAAACACACTATTCATCTTCATTTTTGGGTTTGGTTTCTTGGTTTGTTTGGGTTGTTTCAGGCCATCCAACAAATTAAGCTAATCACATCAGGCAAACCCATCGATACAGTTTTCATACAACTCTCATTGGGTTCAAAGTTGGATTTCGCTTCAGCTTTGCCCTAATGCCCTGTCTTGACTGCGGCAGTGTCTCGAGTCTTTCAATCTACTTTATCAAGTTAAAAAAACACGTTGACAAGTATTGATTCAGCTTTGATGCTCAAACTGAGATATTGAAAACTAAACTTAAATCAACGCCAATGAGTCGACCATCTACCTAAACAAAAGGATGCAAAGGTTGATCGTTAATAGAGTAGGACATGGAAAAATGAATCAACTTGTCTATCCTCCAATGTTCCATCCATCTGAAAAACATCGAAAATCAGAGGTAGGAATAAACAATGTAATGAAAAAAAATTGAGAAACTGGACTACAAATGCTCAGTTATATGGATTGATCCTTATTTATAACCAATTTTATGGAAAAATTGACTTTTACTTCAGACAAGTAAAACCATATTTCACAGCAGATTAAGAGTGATCTGTCAATCATTACCAGACGTTTTGTTCACCCGACAGTTGAAATTAGCTAGCAATGATGAGACTTTACAATTGTTATACTATTATGGCTATATGTTGAAATATTTCCAACAAGTGCGTCACTTTTCAACCGAAGCTTGTACAGCATAAATGGTCAAAATGTTTCAATGAGAAACACTTTGCGTGATTAGTTTGATGAAAGGTCAAACATATTAAAATGCTTAGTTGCGAGATAGTTATAATTAATCATTAATAGATCATTAATAATTATGTAAGGAAAACGCTTGAAAAAATATTGATAAATTTTTTGATTTAAGAGTACAGTTCAAGTGCACTCAAATGTTGGTCAATATGACTTTTTGTTCTTCACTTTACTTTATTGTCATCAAATGATATGCCGAAATAGCTCAGTTGGGAGAGCGTTAGACTGAAGATCTAAAGGTCCCTGGTTCAATCCCGGGTTTCGGCGATTAATTTTGAATTAATTAATCAACAGTTCAAATGTTTTTGTTGTTTTTATCAAGTGCGTCTCAATTGGGCTGGAAATGGACCGAGAATTGCAAGGTTTAGCAAGCATAAGATCTTGATAATCTGATCAACTCACTAACTTGAAGTAGCAAGCTTTTTTATCAAGTTTCAATGCTTCATCTTATCTGTTTATTTTCAACAATTCAACAAGTTTCTATTGAATAACATGAAATGCTCTCACAGTGTTTGAAGAGCACTTTTTCAAACTTTGTATACATTACACATTCATCATGATCAGTAGCGAAATCATGATTCCTTCAGTTAAAGCCTTGATTCCGGATGCTAATTAACTGAGAGTTTGCAGCAAAAATAAATAGCTGGACTGATAATGTCGATGATATTGTAAATAGTTCAACTCAAGCTGAGAAGCATCTATCAATCAGTGCATTATTAAGTAATTTAATGAACTTTTTTAATTTTGCCCGTTTGATGGGCATTTTCCTTCGGCCTTCTTTAACCATTTCATGTTGATAAAGTATTACAATTAAAAAGTCAAGTTTCGCGTGAAATCATTAATTCAAATGTTTTCGTTTCAATTCTTTTACAATGCTAATAGTCATTGCACATTTGATCAATTTTTAAGATTCAAGGAAATAATGAATTTTATCGATTGAAAAACAGTTTCAAAGTGTTCAAGGTAAGGTCAGGATTCATGTTGAAAGAAATACTAGTAAAAAAATTGCACACTTTGAGTGAAGTTGAGAATCGTTTATTTTATTACTTTGAACGTAACTCGTCAGTAGGTTAATACAACATGTAAGATGTTTGGTAAGATGAGTTAGACTAAAATAAGATTCCTAATGAGGAGTGAAAGAACTAGAAATTAAATATTAAATCGTTTTTCAACATCAACCAATTTTTAACTCAGTTCTTGATAATCAACTTATACACACAGAACCAGGGATAATAATGAATTTAATTGATCAAAAAAGGAAAAATATAAACATAACAATTCAGTTTCAATAAAGACCTTTGATCAATATTAACCAATGAACACTCCTTTCGAGATGATTTAAAAAACCCAAATTTATACCTTTTGTTGATTTAAAAGTGAAAAAAATTTATTCAAGTGAATTAAGTGAATTGAATAATGCCGCATTCTTGAGTTCAACTTACCAACTCGCGAAGCAAAATGAAACAAAAGCTTGCTAAACCTCGCTTGGCGTTATTGCTTTCCGATTTGTGGAAATTCGTTCAACTGATATTTCGCCAACAGCTGCATGTGCATGATTTTGAGCAGCTTGCACTTCGTGCTACTGAAACAGTGGAACATCAAATTGTGTTTTACTTTGCATTGAGATTAGGTTTCGATCAGAGTGTCGAGAAACTTGAAGAAATGAAGCGCCAATTTGACTTGAAGAATTGGTTGGTTCGATTTTTCATATTGATCAACCTTTCAAGAGCCTTTTTTGTTTTTAGTGCCGAAGGTGACACAGCAATATATTTGGGTGATCCACTGTTTGCATCCAAAGACAGAGATGTTTTGAAGATTGTTGTCGTTGTTGGCACAGCCGTCATGTACATTGCTCATGAAGGTGTAATGTTGGTTGAAAGACAAGGTGGATTTGTTGGTGCAGCGATCAGAATAAAAGATTTAATAAAAAATGGATTTTCCCATTTTCCATTCGTTGCACCTCAACAAAAAGACTTTAATCGCACTTGTTATTACATTAGTTTATTTTACATCTTTAGCATTCCAGCGACCATTCTTTACGTATCCATCCTTTACAATTATGAGCTCGTCATCAACCTTTACAATCATTTTTCATTTAAAACACTCTTCTTTGAGGTTGCATGGACTTTAACATTGACACCTTTAGTGACGCTTTTAACAACTCAACTGGTCTTTATTAGCGCAGTCCTTTGTTTCTATGCTACTGTCCATAATTTCCACATGGAATCGCTAAAAAACGCCACCTCACTGCTAATCAAATCACTTAATAAGCCTTACAATACAGACATTAAATTCATCACCAAACATGCGACAGTGTTGTTCAATGAAATGGATTTAAATTTTAGAAAAGTTCGTTTCTTGGTTTTCTATTTTTACACTGGAGTAGCTCTTCAATCGCTTTGGTTCATACAATTTGCCATTATCATTGGAAATCATTCCTTCGTGATGGACACTCTTATTGCTGGCCTCGGAATCATCATTATTACTTATACTTTGATAATTAGTCTAGTTTGTGCCAGATTAACCAACAAGGTATAGTTTTAGCTGTGATTTTAGTAAAATGTTTCAAGTTAATTTTTTTGTCTTTTTGTCTCTTAGGTTGGAAGGCTCTATCCAATGTGGCATCAAGTATATCTTAAAAGTAAAGCTACAGTAAACATGAAATTAAAAGTAAACCGAAATTTGTGAAAAAATATTATTCCAAAGTTATACTATTAATTGAATATTAACATAACCATATTTTTATCATTGCAGATGATTGAAATCTTGAACAGAACAACACTGCCAACGACGGGCTTCCAGATTGGCGATTTTGGATTAATAACGACACAATTTGTGTTGATTGTGAGTATTTATTAATAATAATGACATTTTCATTTGTTAACTTTCTATTTTTCATTAGTTTCTCCTAGAGTTTGCATCAATGATGATGATGTTGAGATGTAATTTTGGATCATTTTTCTGAGCTGCATCAATAATTCAAGTGTTTCAACTAAGGATATTTAATTGGATTGTAATCCGTCATCATCACCATCATTTTGGAAACATTATCATCTAAAACCAATAATAAACTAACAATAAAAATGCTAATAATGCTTTTAGCTCAATTAATTGATTCCGAAATCTCAAATGATTTATTCAAATGGAATTGATCTGGAACTGGTTTGATCCATGAACGAATAAGATTTACACCTTGAAAATCGATATCTACCTCAAAACTAAAATACAATCAATGACGGAAAATTTCAACGTTTTATCCATAATATTATCATAAACGATATTCATCTGATTTGTCAAGAAATGTCTGGACTCAGGTTGGCTGAGAGTTGCAACGTTGGCCTCGAAGTGGACTCAACTATTAACAGTTTATTCAAAGTTGACTTATTATTGTAACAAGAAAATGACTTTTTGTGTAAACTCAGTTTTATGAGTAAAGTTGACTTGATCTTAATAAACATTAAGTAAACTTAGCTTGAGCTTGAGACACTTGAAGTCCAACCGACTAAGTCACCAAGTTTACATTAAATCATTGGGTTACTTAGCATTATTATTGTGACAAATTGGTTTGATAGCAAACAAATTTATTAAATACCGTTATGATGGTTCCAGCTTGAAAAGCCGATTCTATACTGTTATATTCTATGAATAACAACAATTTGTGACAGTTTTTCAACACATTTACAAGTTTCATGATTAAATTATCTAATTAAATGAAACACGACAAGAGGAAAAGTATTCAAACTTGAATATCAAATCGCATAGAGCATTTTCAAGGCACAAAAATTTATAAAAGCCTGAAATA